ACAAACGCTGTTTCCAGAATTCATTATCAGTCTTTCACAGTCTATCAGCAGCCAACATTAAAAGGCTACGTGCACTATAAATTTTCAGCACTAGCAGCGAATTTTGGGACACACAGCTAAAAAGAAGTAGGAGAATTAGAGAGAGACGATAACTAAGAATGTGTGAAGGAACGCAAACTTTGACATTTCGTAATCATTTTAATTATCATATCACCATATTGGTACTGCGTATTTTGTTTTATATCGAAAATCTGTGCTTTTCCGCACAGATTCCTAATTGAAAGTCCGAAAGTAATTGCGCAATTATATGTTTTGAGTTAAATTTATTTATAAGAATACATATGTATAGGAAATGGAAGAGTTACTTTTTCGTTACTTTTACAGTTACTTTTTATAATAACGATTTTCTACATAAATGAAGTTCTCTGGAGAAGTAGCTCAGTATCAGTATGCTTTTTTTGATGAAATGAACGGCAAGGTTTACGAACCTTGGCCTTAGCAATGGAAATACGGCGATAACCTGCAAACCTTCTGATATCTTTGAAGATAATCCGTGAAAGCTTAAAAAACGTTATGAATAACGAATTGCTAATGATATCGTAATTTTTTTATGATTATAAATTATAATGATAACTAATTAAATGCTGCGCATTCAGAGAAAGATTATTTTATTCAAAAAAATATTTCTTTGCTATATGATTAAAGAAAAAATTTCTTTAATTTGAACATCATTTCTTGGATTTGAACATCATTTTTTGAAATCAAATAAAAAAATTTATTTAATTCTTTTAATTAAAAAATTTCTTTAATTTAAATATCATTTCTTTCATTTGAACATCATTTTTTGAAATCAAATAAATTTTTTTATTACGTTCAAATTAAAGAAATTTTTTCTTTAACCATACAGTAAAGAAATATTTCTTTGAATCGAAGAAACTTTTTTCTGAGTGCTGTCACGCTAAGATTAGGAAAGTCACTTTGAAAGGTCAAAAGATTGTCACGCCGTTACGTGTTACTTATTGAAAAAAGTAGTAAGTAACGAGTTACGTAAATTTACTTCGTTATCAAGTTACATTAAAAACTAACGAGTTACAAGTTGCGAGTTATTTTTTTCAGTAACGAATGACTTTTCCAATCAGTTATAAATAACTATTGACTGTTTCAACTCTGGTAATATATTATCATAAAAAAAAATTCGTAACGTCATTACCAAATCGTTATTACAATAAGATAACTAAGCAACTAAGTAACCGCAGTTACAGTAACAAGTTACTTCCATTCCCTGCATATATATGTATTAGGTTAACATATAATTTTAACTGTAAGTGATGCTTCTCTATTATTTAATTGATGTATTCATATATAAGCGTTTTATTTTTAATATTATTATTGTTTATATTATTATTTTTTATTCTTTAATTGTTTTTTTTTAATTTCCATATAGACAAATAAATAAAAAAATGAAAAAACAATATATTTAATTTCGGGCAATTGAGAGCTTAAAAAACCGCAGTTAGATTGTGCGTGTAATCAGCAACATATATTCCGTTCTTATTACATCACCTCCCAAGTATTACAGTAAATTATTTATCGAACGTTTCGGCTTAATTCATTTAAGCCATCATCAGCGCTGTCATATAACCTCCGTGCTTGCATCACGTACCAACAAAAAGAAAGCAGCCAAAAGAGCCCCTTCAACTCCAAATTTTGAGACGCATCTTATCCCATCGAATGGTCAATCAAGTGAGAACGACTGCCAACTTTTATCACACATAAACGCAACAGCAGAACAACTTATTCGGAGAACTGTCCCCCAGTATATACAAAGTGAAAATAATTTCAGTTATCATTATACAGGGTGTCCGAAAAGTGTGGAAACGGTCGAATACCTCGAGAAATACACATCAAATCAGAAATCTGAAAATATACGTATTCAATGTTTTCAAAAAAGCTGTCTTTTGACATCTAACATGACCCCCCACCCCCACCCGCTGTGGGTGAAAGAGAGGGTAAGTTTAAAATTTTGAATGGGAACCCCCATTTTTTATTGCAGATTTCGCTTCTTCAGAAAAAGTTACATAAATTTTATCTATTACGAACATTTTTTTGATGACAGATGGCGCTGTAATCAGCGAAATTAAAAAATGAGTCTAAAACGTTCAAAATATCTCAAAAAATACTCAATGGAGCATATTCTCACCCTGGATGGGCGGGTAACTTTTCGATTTTGATTTTTTCTTTTTCTGTCAAAGCCATTGTAGGTACGTCAAGTTGAACTTTTGGATTCTGACTTCACATTCGTAATCAGCGATCCCAAAAACCCCCGAGTAACAAGTTTCAATCGAATTCGGGCATATTGTTTGCAAATTTACTCGCCGTACGTAAAATTTCGAAAAATTTTGAGCTTATAGGCGCCATTGTGAACTCAAAATCGAAAAATGAAAATTGTACACAGTACACGTTTTCGAAGTTTAACTATCGGGAACATGTTTCTGATATCTTATTACATACAAATGGACCTTCCGATATTTGTCTACGTTCTTTTCTGCTAATTGTTGGGGGTTGAAATCTATGTCGAAATTCAGCACATCTCGGCGTTAAAGGGTTAATACGACTTTTTCTGCAGAAGCGAAATCTGCAATAAAACATGGGGATTTTCTCATTACAAATTTTAAAGTTACCTACCCTTTCACCCCCAGCGGATGGTAGGTGGGGGGGTAGAATTTTTGTGTCAATGGATAGCTTTCTTGACAACATTGAATACGTACATTTTTATTTTTTTGATCCTTTGAGTATTTCTTGAGATATTTTAAACGTTTTACACTCATTTTTTAATTTCGCTGATTACAACGCCATCTGTCATCAAAAAAATGTTTGTAATAGATAAAATTTATGTAACTTTTTCTGAAGAAGCGAAATCTGCAATCAAAAATGGGGGTTCCCATTAAAAATTTTAAACTTACCCTCTCTTTCACCCACAGCGGGTGGGGGTGGGGGGTCATGTTAGATGTCAAAAGACAGCTTTTTTGAAAACATTGAATACGTATATTTTCAGATTTCTGATCCGATGTGTATTTCTCGAGATATTCGACCGTTTCCACACTTTTCGGACACCCTGTATATATGTATATACATATATACATATATACAGGGTGTTAGTTAAGAATGTTCCCAAACTCAACAGAGCGATTCTTTGGTTTATTTCAAGTAAAAAAGTCCCCATATAAACATGTGTCCTAAACAACTTAGTTTCCGAAATACAGGTGAATTTTCGCAAATGTTTGACGAAACGATAAATTGCGTTGGAGATATCTTCCTGCATAAATATGCCTTGCTTCATGTGAGTTACTATTCGCACAACCGTAAACAAAGTGACAAAGTCAAAGTCAAAGTCACAAAATCAAAAATAGACTTCAGTCCTGATGTATAATAGCTGCGGTTAGCTTGTACATACGTTTCCGGGCCAAATTGTTTCAATCCATCAAAATCGGTTTCATCATGCCTAAGTTTATAAATTTTGGCAGATATACCCATCCCAATTGAGAATGAGAATGATTTGAGGAATCGAATACTTGCTTCATGCGAGGCAATACGTAACACACCTGGTATCTTTGAGCGTGTACGTCAATCTTTGAGAAGAAGGCTCGATGGATGTATCATGGCGTAAGGTGGACATTTTCAACAATTTATCTAATTGTTTTATTTCGTTAGAAGAACTGAAGCCTGTTTTTGTTTTTCTGTTTTTGATTAGTTTTTGACTAGTTCAAGTTGTATTTCTTTCAAATAAACAGATTATTACTACACGTTTAAATTTTTTTATTTCGGAAACAAAGCCGTTTAGGACACATGTTTATATGGACTTTTTTACTTGAAATAAACCAAAGAATCGCTTTGTTGAGTTTGGCAACATACTTAACTAACACCCTGTATATGTGTAAATATATGATAAAACCATAAAAATATACTACAGGCAATAGGAGTCGACGCTGGTTATCAATTAGCGCAATTTTTCTTAATACTAAAAATATAAACCTTAACTTTGAACGTTTCCACTCATGGTTTGAGTCTTCATCAGCAATCTTTCCCCCTAGCGCAACGATTGGAGTATTGCATGACAAAATGATATCTCCAACGTATTTCTTCTCAAAAATTGAACCGTTTACTATTGTGAGGTAAGTCACATACTCACAAAGTTAGAAAACTGAGTGGCAACGAGAACTTAAGCTAAAATTATACGAAAAGTTAGATTATCGTAGGGTAAGTTCGGGTGAGATGAGACAACGGGTGAGATGGGACACTTCAATTTTCAGCTGCTTTAACGTGCGCATTCCCGCTAATAACTGCATAGGATATTAAAGTTTTATACATTAATGAAAATTCATCCACTCCCGTCGTCAATTTTCTATTGTGTTCAAAATTATTAAGAGTTATTTTTTGGTCGGGTGAGATGGGACAGGCATAAATTTTTGTAATTATTTTTTGGAAAGTCCTTCAAGCCAAGTGGTTAATATATTTAGTTTCCATACGAAAGGATCGAAGCATTTGGACCTCGGAGAAGGTATGTATATGACTATTGCGCTCAGTTCATGCTCAGGTTACGCACAAGTTGATGTCCCATCTCACCCGCCATATTCGGGTGAGATGGGACATTTTTTGGCGGGGGAGTTGGGACAGTGCCAAGTTCATTGGAAACGATTTTTTCGACTATTTATGATTATATCATCAAATTGTACATTTTAACCCTATTTGAAAGTGAATAAGACACATTCGATATACTATATTGAGAGAAATATGAAGAAATCATTTTTCTAATGATAGTAGTAGTAATAGTAATGAATTAACCAGTATTTCTTTACTACTTGTACACGTATTTTTCTGTACCTACCTATAACATTTACAACCAATAACTTGTAATATACGAATCTGATAACTATTAATTACCGTGGTTATTATACCTATCTATAGGTAGTCTCGGTGAAGAAAACGAACAAAGGTTAGTAATGCATATAAAAGCATTGTGCGATTCCGGTTTCCCAGTAGATAGAAAAAAAGTTCGACAACTTGCTTTCCAATTCGCCGAAACCTTAAAAATCAAACACCATTTCAATCGCGACTCAGAAATGGCGGGAAAGGATTGGCTCTACTCTTTTTTAAGGCGCAATCCGAGCATAACAATCCGGAAAGCCGAAGGCTTGTCAGTGGCTAGAGCTACCAGTCTCTCAAGAAAAATCGTACAGCAGTTTTACGATCTTCTAGAAAAAGAAGTCACTGAACACAATCTACAAGACAAGCCACAAAATTTATCGAATTGCGATGAATCAGGCATACAGCTAATAAATGCCCCTGGAAAAGTTTTGGCTCCCAAAGGAGCTAAAGTAGTCAATCAAATTACGTCAAAGGAAAAAGGTGAAACCGTCTCACTTTTAGCGTGTTGCACCGCAGAAGGGCGATTTCTTCCACCGACATTAATTCTTAAAGGAAAAAACATCAAACGTGAGTTTGAGGACGGCCTACCTCCAGGTTCGAAAGTATTCATGAATAAAAAATCAGCATACATTTCTACGGAGTTGTTTTTGAAATGGTTTAATGAGGAATTTCTCCTTCGAAAAGCTGCAGGAAAAAATATTTTGATTCTTGATGGTCACTGCAGCCACTGTACGTCGATTGAATTACTTGAATGTGCCGAAAAAAATGATGTCTCACTTCTTTGCTTGCCACCTCACACAACACACGTATTACAACCGTTAGATAAATCGTTTTTTGGCCCATTTAAGGCGCATTTTAAAGTTGAAGCCAACACCTGGATTAATCAACATAAAGGACGCAACCTAACACGTTATCAACTCGGACCACTTGTGGAAAAAGCTTGGAGTAAGGCAGCAACGGTCGAAAACGGATGTAGTGGCTTTTCTTCAACAGGAATTTTTCCATTTAATAGGCATATCATTCCCGATATTTTTGCGATTTCTGACCGCATCGAAGATGAAAAAGAACGTAATTTACAGGAAAAAGAGTCCTATGCCCGACAAGAATCTGAATTGATTGAATCTTCTGAAAGCATTTACTCATTGGAATCAGAAGAGCCAACACGGGTATTGAACAAAATTTTGCCCGTACGGACTTTAGAAATACAAACAAAAAAGAGATCCGGATCGTCAAACGAAGCGAAGCTTTTAACGTCATTAACTAATAGGCAACAAATGCGAGACAAAGCCGAGAAAAAAAAACTAGCAGACAAAAAGAAATTGCAATTAGCAAAAAAGAAATTAAAACATTGTGTCTCGGACAATGAGGATATAGAGTCCGATGTCTGCATGCAAATACAACGCAAAGCTGAACCAAAAAAATCAGCAAAAGCTTCAGAAATTGCAGAGATCGCTAAGGTTATCAAGAAAGAAGCATTAAAGAGCCACTCTAGTAATGAACAAGCAACGCACGTTCAGGAAAAAAGAGGTCGAAAAAGAAAAACTGAAGTAGCGCCCACGAAATCGGCTAAAGTGTCGAAAATCGTACAGATTTGTGAGTTTTGATTGTTTTTTTTACGTTATTTCACATGTTTTGCGTTAAAGTAATACAAAATTGAATAAAATTGTTTATTTTTCTCGTTTTGGTTATTACTAATAAATTAGTTCAACAAAACACTGCTTTTGTTTCATTTTTTGATGGTGTCCCATCTTACCCGCCGTGTCCCATCTCACCCGACAATTTTTCATTTTTTTTCAAATGTACTTTGACGGATGAAAAACAGCGAAAAATATTTCATAAATCGTGTAATCCTATGGTTTAGATATGAAATAAACATAATATACACTATATATTTATGATAGTTTAGCGTGTGCGGTATGAGAAATGATTTTCCAAAAAGTGTCCCATCTCACCCGAACTTACCCTATGTATAATTTGAAAATTAATAATTACCTTACCTCACACAGTCGACGTTTCTATACTGAACAATGAATCTCTGTTATGCAACATTTTGTAACTCGTCAATATATTATAAATTATCGTCAAATTTTAAAAAAATAACTACGAGAACAATATGTGTCTTGTCATCATATCGAATAAATTCAGGAATGCAATTAATGGGGTTAGCCATAGGGTTTCATTTTTTAGTTTGAACAAGTTGAATCAGTTTATTAAAGTTCATAAAGATTTTTTAAACAATGAATTAAAAAGGAATGTAGTCTACAAGATCAATTGTCGTGATTGTGATGCTTCCTATGTGGGACAAACAGGGAGAAAATTAAAAACCAGACTTTCTGAACACAAAAAGCATATCCATAATAAAACATCCACTCAGTCAGTGATCACAGAACATAGGTTGCAGAACGATCATAACTTTGATTGGCAAAACGTAGAGATTTTAGATGTAGAAAATTATTACAACAAAAAGTTAATATCAAAGATGATGCATATTAATCGACAGACCAATGGGTTGAATTTACAACATGATACCATTGGTTTAAATCATGCGTACAATGAAATCCTCAATAAACTTTAAGGCTTGTTTGTAATATAATATATGTCAGAAACTTGTTTGTCTTTAAATTGACTGCTATGTTACTTGTTTAGCAATCATTATTTAACCGACTGTCGAAATGACAAGACACATAGTGTTCTCGCAGTTATTTTTTAAAAATTTGACGATAATTTATAATATATTAACGAGTTACAAAATGTTGCATAAGAGAGATTCATTGTTCAGTGTAGAAACGTCGACTGTGTGAGGTGAGGTAATTATTAATTTTTAAATTATACATACAATAATCTAATCTTTCATATAATTTTAGCTAGAGTTCTCATTGTCACTCAGTTTTCTAACTTTGTGACTTACCTCACAACAGAAAAAGGTTCAATTTTTTAGAAGAAATACGTTGGAGATATCATTTTGTCATGCAATACTCCAATCGTTGCGCTAGGGGGAAAGATTGCTGATGAAGACTCAAACCATGAGTGGAAACGTTCCAAGTTAAGGTTTATATTTTTAGTATTAAGAAAAATTGAGCTAATTGATAACCAGCGTCGACTCCTATTGCTTGTAATATATTTTTTATGGTTTCAATAATTGTTTTAATTAAAGGAGTCTATAAAAACTTATTAGTTTTTATTAATTTATGATTTATCATTGTATATACATGTATATGTACGTGTATATATATATGTATATATGTGTATATATATGTATATATAGGGTGTGAGTTAAGTATGTTCCCAAACTCAACAGAGCGATTCTTTGGTTTATTTCAAGTAAAAAAGTCCATATAAATATGTGTCCTAAACGGCTTAGTTTCCGAAATAAAAAAAATTTAAACGTGTAGTAATAATCTGTTTATTTGAAAGAAATACAACTTGAACTAGTTAAAAACTAGTCAAAAACAGAAAACAAAAACGGGCTTCAGTTCTTCTGACGAAATAAAACAATTAGATGAATTATTGAAAATGTCCACCTTGCGCCATGATACCATCCATCGAGCCTTCTTCTCAAAGATTGACGTACACGCTCAAAGATACCAGGTGTGTTACGTATTGCCTCGCATGAAGCAACTATTCGATTCCTCAAATCATTCTCATTCTTAATTGGGGTGGTATAAACCAATGATTTCCGATGGCCCCAAAGGAAATAATTCAAAGGATTTAAGTCTGATGATCTAGGAGGCCAAGGTTGAGTTCCTGCTCGACCTATCCTGTATTTCGGAAACTAAGTCGTTTAGGACACATGTTTATATGGACTTTTGTACTTGAGATAAACCAGAGAATCGCTCTGTTGAGTTTGGGAACAAACTTAACTAACACCCTGTATATGTATATACATGTATATATACAGGGTGTTTGAAAATTATCGGCTAATCGATCACGAGCAGGTAGAACGGACCGAATTGAATCGAAAAATCTTACACCATTTTGTAGGTTGCGCAATAGTTAACGAGATATTAACGTTTAAAGATAGCCGAATAAGCG